ATCTTTAGAGGAGTAAATAATTATGGAACATTAAAGTTATTTTCAATAACACAAACTCTTGTATATGTATATTAGTATGTAGTAGAATATTAAATTGCTGTTAGCTAAATATTTCTCAGTCCTCAGATGAGAATTTAAAATAAACTATTTTTTAAAATTGAAATTGGTGCTTTGGTTACATTATGACCAAGTAAGTCATGTGAAAATTGTAATCTGCTATGTCAAAATACCAAATTAAGAGTGCAAATATTTCTCCCTGCAAGAATTCCGTAGAGAACCGCATAACAAAGCAGTAGTGATCCTACTGAGACAGGCAGCCTAGTCAGGCCACCTTTTAACTGTTCCTTGTTAAAACAGGAAATGCAGAGCACAGACTGATTACAGGGTAGCTTTGGTTTTCCCTTGTTAGTAATCAGCACAAACTCTCCAATGTAAACACTGCCATGGCAGCACCAATATGGCCTTTGCTCTAATAAAAAAAATCAACTGGACTAGTTTGCATCTAATGCTCCCTGTGGTTTCCTGTAACTGCAGCTTCTGCACAAATACAGGGTCTCCTTCCTGGTAGTTAATGCTCCTTTATTGAAATCTGCTCATTATACCCCCCCCCCAAAAGAATTGCTTAGCATTTGTCTCCTGTTTAGCCCAAACCTGTTTTGTATCATTAACCTCTTAGCAGAGGGAACATGTCACAATAAGTAAGCAGATCAAAGGGCACTCAGTGCTGCAGGTTTGTTCTTGCTTTAATTTTTATTTATACTGTCAGGAGCTTTATGGGTTCTCCTTTTTTTAATGTTTATGAGGTGAGGAAGAGATCAACCAATGTTTACATTTTGTTTTGAAGGGACCAGAATACATTTTATAGCCTTTGAACACTTTTTAGTTTCAAGTTTGTTTGTTTTTCTTTACTTTTTAAAGCAATCTTCTGTTCTAGCTAGCTGAAATAGTTTGGCTTGATTGTTTTTCTCAGCATTTAGGTGTAAATCTTGTGTAATGTGCTAGGATCCATTGATTTGTTTTTTAATTACATCTCTGAATGAATTCCTGTTCTTTATCCGTGTATGAAGGGCACTAACGGAGAGAGCAAATGACCAAAGGTCCATGAATCAGACCATTATATGGAAAGGAGTGTCCCAAATGCATCCGGAGAGAAGGGAACTACTACAACAATAAGCTCCAAATATTATAAACTATCTGGTATCACAGTATGAAAGTATTCTTAAAAGGAATATTCCAGTCTATTGTCACATTTCTATGGCTTCTATAAGGCATAAAGTTACCTTTTTAGATTATGTTCTGCTATCAAAAGTTTTAGCAAATAGAAAGATACCATCAGACTGAAATCCAGGCTATTCATTGTTGGGAGAGCACTGATTAAAAAAAATCTGGCCTTGTATACAAGTAATCCTTAGCAGACCACAATGGTTCCCAAAATTTCTGTTGCTAAATGAGACATTTGTTAAGTGAGTTTTGTTCCATTTTACGATCTTTCTTGCCACAGTTGTAAAGTGAATCACTGCAGTTGTTAATCTAGTAATCTGGCTTCCCTGTTGACTTCGCTTGTCAGAAGGTCACCCAAAATTGATCACATGACCTTGGGACACAGCAGTGGTCATAAATATGAACCAGTTGCAAAGCATCTGAATGTTGATCATATGATCATGGGGATGCTGCAGCAGTCATAACTGAAAAATGGTCATGTCACTTTTTTCAGTGCCATTGTAACTTTGAACAGTCACTAAATGAACTGTTGTAAGTGAAGGACTACGTCAATATATATCAAATCCTGATATAATGCACCCTCTCTTTTTTATATTTGTTCCAGTGGTGAGTTGCAGGTGGTACGTCCTGGTACAGGCGTACCGGAGCCAGTCCGGAGCACCGAATACCGTTCCGGTATGGTGCTCTGGAGGGTCCACCCGCCCGCCTGAGCTGCTTACCTGTGTTTTAAAGCTTCTGCACTGCTGCGTACACTCATGGCGTGTACAGCGTCTGCGTGACGCTCTGCGGAGCAGCTGGAGCATCGCAGAGGCACTAAGATGCATGTGCGTGCTGCGCACGTCCATGAGGATGCTGCTGGCCCCATTCCAACCAAAGCGGTTGGAACGGGATTTGAAACCCACCGATTTATTCCATTCATGGGAAGACCTCTACCACAAAATTTTCAATTTTTATTGAAAGATACCATAAGAATGTGTAACATTATAAATTATACCAAACACAATGAAAAGAGAACTCAGATTTCAGATATTATGGTCACATGATGCATTAGATCACAGACTGACTAACCACAAGCATGTTGGATGAAGCCAGATCTTGTGTCTAGCTAGGTTCAGTGTTTGTGTTACCTCAGAAATTTTGATTAGTTGATTAAACCAGGTTTAAATGCACCATGGTTAAGAAAGTTTTGTAAACAGTACCAGAGTCTGCTACTGAATATGCCAAATAAACATCTGGGAATGTAAATAAACCCATCTACAGTAAGTGCCTGAAACCTTGCACTTTGCTTTCTAGCTTGTCCCCACCATCCTTTTCAAATGGTGGTTCATTATTGTTACAGGACACCTTGTTAATTTCTGTTCTCTTCAGGCTAAATGGTCCAACAGTTAGCTTTTATCATATTTGGAGAACACTGACGTATTGTATTCACCTGGTTTACTGACACACTAGTGACACAGCATGACCACAATTAGATCTTGAGCCATGATACAATTGAACACCAAATGTATTTCTTATTTACCTTGAAAAGTTTCAACTTTTATTGAACAGTATCTCGACTTAGAAGGTATAATAACAAATTGGGTAGCAGTGTTTATGTTCATAAATAACCCTGGAAGTTGCTGGGAAAAAAGTATCCACTGATAAACAAAAGTGCAGTTTTCCCATCGATGTATTTTATGCTTGAGAAAGCTACAATTGTTATTCCTCACCATCATCACATCACACATTCTGCAAAGACACAGAACCATTGCTAGAACAAGCAAAGGAGAGAAAGCATGCAGAATGTGCCTTCAGGAACAATATCCAATCCTTTAATTGCAACTCCAGTCTAGGTCATGTGACTGGAATGGAGGATGGAAAGGATTTAGAATAAAGGAGGTGTTAACAACCTAATTCATTCCCTAACTGTTTCTTCCATTAATGATGCATTGGAACCACAGGTTAGGCACAGGACAACACATAGTGATTGTAATAAATGACTTCACTGTGAAGTCATAAATGTGGACACTGATGTAAAGTTATTTTTTTAGCACCATTGTAACTCTGGATGGATGCTGAATGAGTCA